TGATATTTTTTTTATTCTGTGATCTTACTATATCTGTCTTTCTATATAAAATTATAAAAACTATTCTAAACTATATATATAGCAAGTTCAGTTATATAATAAGTTGTTTTTGTTAAATTTAGAAGATTCTTGATTCTATTAAAGAAGTCTATTGTAGTTAGGTTTTTAATTCACAATTTTTTTTTTTTTTGCTTATTATTTTTTATCTCTCCAATTAGAATTTTGTGCAAAAGGTTTTTTGAACAACACCTTTTTTTCTTTTTTATAAATTTAAACCAAACAAGATTTATCTATATTGCTAAATGATCCAGAGTTTTTACAATGCCATTGTTATATACTATATAGTTGCTATTTGTATAAATATCTGATCTTCTTGTTGCCAGGGTTTTGAGTACTAGTAAGCTTTCTAAAAGGCATTTTATTTGTGTTGCTAGCCTTTTACTTTTTTGTAGAGAATTATACTTTATATTTTTAAGTTTTTTAAACTTTTCTAGTATAAATACCAATTCAATTTGGACTTGTTTAAATTAGGTTCTAAGGTTAGAATTGAGTTTGTTAGTCTTCACAATTTGTACTATCTAAGTTTCAAAGATCTTTTAAGAAATAGTTTAGTTGCTTTTTCAACTTTATGATTATCTCAAAACAGAGAAAGCATAATTCTTGTATTGAGGTCTGAATGAATGCTAGTTAGATATGCTAGTGATATAGCTTTTTTTTTTTTTAAACTTCAACAATTTTGTTATTAACTTTTATTTTTATATTTAACTAAACAGTATATATATATTACATATTTAACTATCTAACTAAATAGTCACTGTGACCTTACTTGGCTACTCTATATGGCATCTAGATATAACTGTTTGTATCATTTTACATGTGAGACAGATTTTTTAGAGAACCTCTATTAAGAAGCACCCCAAATTTTGATTTTACTCAGAATCTTAATATTTTTACCAATTCATATATACCCCGCTATATATACTACTATACAATATCTACTAGTTATAATCTACCTCTCATCACTTATCATATTACTTTTAATTTGTTTCTTGTATAACTTCCAAATGGGTGTCCTAGGAGTAGGTGCTCTTCTTGCTTCCAGTTTGGTATCTCTTGAGATGTTACTTCAGATTCTAATCCATATCCCAAGTTAGATGCTGCCACTGTCTAAAGATCTATATTTCAAGCCACTTGCTACTGCTATTAGAAGAGCTATTTGCATGGTTTTAGGTATTTATATTATATACTACTTAATTAGACTACTTTACCTTTTATAGTACTTCCTATTGGTATAGTGATATGAAAATCTAGATCTTTAGAACAGAAGTTAAGTACCTCATTTAATTACTGCCACAAAGCAGTAACCCAGAATTTGTGCTTCTGCTATAAACTCTTATATAGATTGTGTTACTATTACCTACTAGCTATCTTTATGTTCATATCACTAGTAGAATATTTGTTTTTATGCTTTTTAGAGTTTTTTTTAACTAGTTTTTTTTGTTTCTTTTTTGTGTCAGAGGTGTTCTATATTTGGTAAAGCTATTCTCTTACCATAGCCCCTTACTATATTCATCACTTCTTTTACTACTTTTGGATATACTGTATATAGCTATTCTCCTATGTGTAAGAATTGGATTTGAAAGTTATGATTTATTGAATATATACTAAAATTTACTCTTTTAGAAATTACAGATTAAAACATAGACAACTACAGGCTATAAAGTGAGATATATAAACTATTGTCAGCATGAAAAAGAGCAGTGATGTAAATATTAAAAAAAATATGCTAAAAAGCAAAATATATATATTGAAAAGAATATTTGTATGAAAAAATAAATCATCTGTTGCATGTTCTAGAGATGGATAGTGATTTTAATTTATCAAAAGAGCAATATATAGCTGATTGATAAAGCTATTATAAATAATACATTAGCTAAATTTTGTAAAATTATTAGCTGTAATTTGCTTAGAGAATTATTTTGTATAGTATGTTTTGGCATATTTTTATGTAAATATTTGAATATCATTATTATAAAAAAGATATGCTTACCATTGCTTGAAATCGATAAAAAATTATTATATAAAACTAACTTCATATATATTTGGTTTCTACATATTGATAAGAGTGGTTACAAGGTTTTGCTAAATAAAAATAAATTTGTAAAAAATACAAATAATGAAGATTAACTATTCTAGTAAATATTATTATTATGTGATAATTGACAATATAGATTACTGTAAAATACTATATAAGATACCTGGGTATTTTACAATTTATGTAATAAAAATTTATTTGTATTCCAAGTACTTGTATAGAGAAGGGTATATTATATAGAGATCTTTTGTAATAGAGGTATATTATTAAGTATATAGCGATACTGTATTTCTGTATTTTGTTCTTCTGGTTTTACATTTTATACTGGTAATACATGTAATATGGCAATAAGTTAAATATTTTTATATATAATATATTTACTTTTAAGATTCTATAATACTGATAATTGTTATTATAAAGAAAAGAATAGCTTTTTTTTTTGTAAAGAATTTTTTTTAGATTTTTTTTTCATGAATGTTTTTAGATTTTTTTTTGTGAATATTTTTTTGTTTTTTTTTTTCTTTATAAAATATAGATATAAAACTTTGTTTTTTTTTAAACCATGTTTTTTTTATAAGATAAAAACTTTTTATAAGTATAAATATTAAGAAAACTTATTTTTAGTATTATAGTTTTCTTGAAAAGTATTCTGATAACAAGACTTTAGCAAAAGAAAAACTATAAGTGGACAGCTTGTAAGAAACTTTTTATAATTTTTTATCTTGAAATAGTTCCCAGAGCTACTGTATAGAGAATAGCTGATAAATTTTTAATTTAACCCAAACAAATTCAGGATTGAAAAAGCAAACAAGAAGAGCTATTATCAGCTTAGCCTCATATTAAATGTCTTAATGTTGGTGCTTAACTAAACTTGCTAAATAAATTTGAGCTTTACATAACAAATTAAAACCAGTTAGCTATGTTATAGTACAAAATAAAGCTGCAGCATTAGCAAAGTTTCCAAAATATATTTTTCACTATTCTAATATTAACATGTTTAAATAGAATAACAAGTGGCTTGATGGTTTTTTACAATATAATAGTTTTACTAATCATTGTAAAACAACTATTGCACAAAAGCTACTAGCAAAATTAGAAGCACAATAGCAAGCATTTCTTAATTTTGTTCAATATCACTGTGTTCGATATGATTATTCACTACTATTAATAAGTAATATAGATAAAACCTCTTTCTTTTGATATGCCAAGTAATATAACTATAAATGATAAAGAAAATAAAATGATCAGTATTAGAACTTGTGATTATGAAAAATTCTGCTTTACTGTTGTACTTGCATATATGGCAAATAGTAAAAATTATCTCCAATGATTATTATAAAGTTAAAAAAAATATTCTATGACTTGAGTTCCTGCTAGGTGTAGTTGTTAGAGCTAATAAAAGTAAATGGATAAATAGAAATAAGCTTTTAGATAGATAAGATTTGGTAAAATTGTACACCATATTCTGAGAACTCATGATCACTTATTGTAATTGATTTTTTTCAGAGTTATATAGTTTTTTTTATTAAAAATAAGCTTGCAAAAAAAAGTACCAATATTACAATTATTTCTGAAAGATTGATATCAAACTTCAACTACTTGATATTCAATTAATAAATTATTTAAAACAAAGGTAGTTCTTTTTTTAAATTAAAAGAGATCTTCTTGGTTGGTGAATTTTATTAAGTTGAGTTCAGATACTATACATTGTAACAAAAATACATCAAGCCATATGTGCACTTTTGGTGCCTAATTTAAGTAGTCTACCCAAAGTGGTTGTGCTATGCTAAAAGTTCTACACTATTTGCTATATTTGTACTCCAACTATAGAGGTATCTATTTAAACCTTCTGATCTTAATATATAGCCTGATGCTTATTTTAACATGGGTGTAATTCACTATTCAAATTTAGGTTTTGTGACACTACTATATAATTAGCCAACTTAGAACACTTTACTATCCTCAAAAATAAGCCCAACAGAGCGGTGCATGTTCTACATATGCATTCACCTACTTGTGCTGTAATATCTTTCTAGTTAGTACCTGTTGTGCTATTATTACTGAGTTCATATCTCAAGCTGCCCTTTAGAGTACTACCATAACCTGATCCGTATTTCAAGCCACAATCTTCTTAATTAGTTTCCCATTATATACTCATTGCCCTTAATCAGTTTACAACAACCCTGGTATCCACACTTGGAACTATCTTCTTACCCAGATTCTTTATTTGTCCCTCTCTTACTTCAAGCTAGCAACCTGGAAGGGTTGGTCTGCTCAAACTTTAGGTGTCTAAAGAATGCCACCCCTTTGGTTTATACTTTTAGAGCATATGTTCCTTTCCTCCGGTGTAACAACCCAGAAGTTCAGCTGGTGTGTTCTCCAGCATAGAACCTAGTTGCTCAGTTCTCTGGTCTTGGGCCCTGGTTCGAATTTAGCTCTCCTTCTGTGATACTGTCAAAGATCACTGTTACATCCAAATTCAGGACTTCCTAATTTGGTTATGCTATTTTCTCAAATTCATTGCACTAAAGCTTCTATTACTAGATGGTGTGACTGAAGTTATAGATTTAGTTCTAGATCCAACTGATAAACATAGCCATCAACCAAATACAGGCCTATTTTTCAAATATTATTACTAGTGGGATTTGAACTCTAGATCTGCCACTTGGAAAGGGTGATGACTAGACCACTACACTAAGTTGCTACACCTTCTTTTTTTTTATAATTAATATATATAATATATATTAGTAAAAAGATGCATTAATGCATTATGTTAATGCATCTTTTTATTAATAGATTCAATATATTTATAATAAAATGGATATCACAAGAAATAAAAGAATTAACTAAATCCAGTTAAATTAAACATCCTCTATATAATATAATTGCAAAATGGGTTAAGCATATGTGGGATACTCAGCTAATTAAAAATACCTTTAAATGTTGTGGCATCTCAGTTGCAACTAATGGATCAGAAGATGATTTAATTTTCAATTATGATCATGCTGAAAATAACAATAAGATCAATAACAATAATGAAGTCAATGAATACATTTTTAATAATAAAAACTTGGTTTCACAACTTTAATAAAACCTCAAACTACAACAAAACCTTCATGTCAACAAAACTTTTCACTTCAACAAAGCCTCCCACCCCAACAAGATCTTCAAAAAAACTTCTCACCCAAACAAAGCTTCCAAAACCTTCTATCCCAACTATGCCTCTTATCCCAAGAACACTTTCTTCTGCAAGATTTCTTGTACCAACAAAACCTTCCACTTCAACAAGATTTTTCATCAAATCAACACTTTTTACCCCAACAAAATCTTTTGCTTCAGCAAAGCTTCTTATCTTAACCACTACAAGGTTTCTTGGCTCATCAAAATTTTCTGAATCAGGGAGAATTTGATTATTATTATTATGATTAGAATGAGATGAACAATTCATGAATCAATGGGTTTAATAATATTTAATTACACAAATTTAGAAGTTTAAATAAACTTACCACCTAACCTCTTATATTGCGATGATATGAGGTTTTTAGATCTAATAATATTCAAATGTAATTAACTTAAAATTATAAATATTGTATTAATAACTGAATAGTAACATGACTAAATTATAAAGCTTGAATTATCAAATACTTATCTTTTTTACAAGTTCAAGTGCATCCATGATTGTGTATTTTCAATTTGCAGTATACACAGTTACAAATCCACCTTTTTCAAAAAGCATAAAATCCGTTATGAAGAATCATCCAGGGTGACCACCAAAAACGCTGTGACATAGTTATAGTATAGCCAGACGTAAATTAGTGAAATGAACACAGCCGCCTGATTAAATAAAAATACTTACAGGTCGATTTTACCATAAAGGAGACCAAATTTTTCTTTTTGCATTTAAAAATTTTTTAAAAAACAATTTTTGGTCAAATTATAACTTCAAAGATCATCGGCCTATACTAGTTAATGCAGGCCGACTGTTTAATTACGTTACAGTGTTTTAGGTGGTCGTCCTGGATGATTCGTTATTAAGAAGGTATAGATAGGTACAGTTAATTATGAAAAAAGATGTTTGTCTGATATTTGAAACCCATAAAGGGAACAATTTAAACGAACGAACGATTTAAAAACTAGAAAATTGTAGTTACCTGGTACAAATCAAGGCATTTACTAATTTCCCAAGTTTTGATTGGCTGGGATTATTCGTGCCAATTTACATGTCACCTTCTAATTAAAATGTGACATCTTAGTTAGGGTTTGGGTTAGGGTTAGTGGACGACATTCTACTAAAATTTCGCAAGGAATTTTTTTTGTTAGTCCATAAAAGGTGATTTCTTAGGCGATAAGTGTGACTTTTCAAAAAAGAGCGATTGTTGTTTTGATCTTCACGTTACACCTGATCTTGCATTCTGATTGGCCAATATCGAATCTTTGGGGGAATTAGTAAACGCCAACAGTTAAATATGGGCTAAGTCTTTTAACCATAATAGGAAACATTAAATATGGCCTAAGACATTTTGGATTTAATTATACCCAAGTAGGTAAAGTCATTAACAAGTATACGTAATACTGTAAATACGTAATCAAAATCGTTATTAAATATAAATGTATTCTGAATCATCCTACGAATTTATTATACCTATTACTTTATTTACCGCATTTTTAACTATTTTCAAAAAAACAAAATTTATTATTATAGTAAAAATGTCAACAACACAAAACTTGAAAAAAACTTACAATGATTTATCTGAAAAAAATTCCGAGAATTCCGATAAAGAATTGTATAATTGCCTTGTTGCTCAAAGTATTTTTTCAAATTATTTTTCTAGAAAATTGATTGAAGAAACCGAGGTTGGAACTGCAAATGAAGAATTTATTCGTGGTTCTTGTTATTATTTTGGAATTGAAACTGAAAAGAATGAACATAAAGCATTCATTCATTATCAAAATTCAGCTGAAATGGGTCATGCTGGTGGAACATATATTCTTGGTTGTTTTTATCAAAGTGGAATTGGAACTGAAAAAGATGAGTACAAAGCGTTCATTAATTATATAAAGTCTGCTGGAATGCAATCTGCTGATGGAATGTTTAGGGTTGGATATTGTTACCTCTATGGAATTGGTGTTGAAAAGGATGAATTTAAGGCATTCATCCATTACAAAAAATCTGCTGAAATGGAATCTGTTGATGGAATCTGTGAAGTTGGATATTGTTATCACAATGGAATTGGAATTGAAAAAAATGAAAATAATGCATTCATTTATTACCTAAAATCTGCAGAAATGGGCGACTCTCGTGGAGCATTCAATGTTGGCTATTGTCATGAAAAAGGAATCGGTGTTGAAAAAGATGAACATAGGGCATATAATTATTATCAAAAATCTGCTGAAATGGGGAATGCTAATGGAATGTGTAATCTTGGTAACTACCATAAAAATGGAATTGGTGTCGAAAAGGATGAACACAAGGCATTCATTTATTATCAAAAATCTGCAGATTTAGGATGTGTTGAAGGAACATTTAATGTTGGTTATTGTTATTATGAAGGAATCGGCGTCGAAAAAGACGAATATAAGGCATTCATTTATTATCGAAAATCTGCAGAAATGGGATATTCTCGTGGTGTATTTAATGTTGGATATTGTTATTGTGAAGGAATTGGTGTTGAAAAGGACGAATATAAGGCATTCATTTATTATAAAGAATCTGCTGAAATGAGACATGCAAGCGGAATGTGCAATCTGGGTAACTGCTATATAGAAGGAATTGGAGTAGATAAGGATGAACATAAGGCATTCATTTATTATCAAAAATCTGCAGATGTAGGATGTTCTGAAGGAACATTTAATATTGGATATTGTTATTCTGAAGGAATGGGAGTTGAGAAGGATGAACATGAGGCATTCATTTATTATCAAAAATCTGCCGAGATGGGGCATGCTAGTGGAGCATTTAATGTTGGATGTTGTTATGATGAAGGAATTGGAGCCGAAAAAGATAAACAAAAGGCACTCGTTTATTATCAAAAATCTGCCGAGATGGGGCATGCTAGTGGAGCATTTAATGTTGGATATTGTTATTATGAAGGAATTGGAACCGAAAAAGATGAACAAAAGGCATTCATTTATTATCAAAAATCTGCCGAGATGGGGCATACTAGTGGAACATATATGGTTGGATATTGTTATCGAAACGGGATTGGAGTTGAAAAGAACGAACATAAAGCATTCACTTATTATCAAAAATCTGCCGAGATGGGACATGCTGAAGGAATAAATAATGTTGGAAATTGTTATATGGGAGGAATAGGTGTTGAAAAAGATGAACAAATGGCATTTACTTATTATCAAAGATCAGCAGAGATGGGGATCTCTAATGGAACATTTATGGTTGGGCATTGTTATCGAAATGGTATTGGAATTAAAAAAGATGAACATAATGCATTTATTTATTACCAAAAATCTGCAGATATGGGATATGCTATAGGTACATTTAATGTTGGTTATTGTTATGAAAAAGGAATTGGAGTTGAAAAAGATGAACATAAGGCATTCATTTATTATCAAAAATCTGCTGAGATGGGGTTCGCTAATGGAACATATTGTGTCGGTTATGGTTATGAAAAAGGAATTGGAGTTGAAAAAGATGAACACATTGCATTCATTTATTATCAAAAATCTGCTGAGATGGGACTCGCTAGCGGAATATTTAACGTTGGATATTGTTATCTTAATGGAATTGGAATCGATAAAGATGAACATAGTGCTTTTATTTATTTTCAAAAATCTGCAGAGATGGGTGACGTTTATGGAATATTTAATGTTGGATGCTGTTATCAAAATGGAATTGAGGTTGAAAAGGATGAAATTAAAGCATTCATTCATTATCAAAAATCAGCAGAAATGGGTCTTGACAGCGGTGCACTTAACGTTGGACATTGTTATGAAGAAGGAATCGGAGTTGAAAAGGATGAACATAATGCATTCATTTATTATCAGAAATCTGCAGACATGGGACATGCTAATGGAATATTTAATGTTGGACGCTGTTATCAATATGGAATTGGGGTTGAAAAGGACAAACATCAAGCATTCATTTATTACCAGAAATCTGCAGATATGGGACATGCTGAAGGAATATATATGGTTGGATATTGTTATCAAAATGGAATTGGGGTTGAAAAGGATAAACATAAAGCATTCATTTGTTATCAAAAATCTGCAAAGGCAGGCTATTCTGCTGGAATAAGCCGAGTTGCTAATTGTTATAGGAATGGAGATGGAGTAATAAGAAATTTGCCACAGGCCGAATATTGGTATCGAATGTAAATATGCTAATATATATATTTTTTCTTCTTTATTACACATTCGATTTATTGAATATTTGTATATTACCCAGGGAAAATGAATCAACATCAGGTAACTTTATTGGTAAGCCGTTTTTAGTTAATTATAGGTTAACGTCATCCCCTGCTTAACTGCCCAAAAATTAAACAAGCCAATCACAACACAGTATAAACTTAATTAATCATGTGTTTAATGTTGGCCAATGAGATATTAACAAATATTCTTGGGACTATATGTGTTTGTTTAAATCCCCATGCCTGAGCCTAAATATTGACGTTAACCTAATAATCAACTAAAAACGGCTTTATTATGCAATGAGACAATTATAATCTTGAAACTAATAATTTTGCTACAAAAGAATGGGTATATGGAAATTCTGACATCGATGATAATTTGAAAAAAATGTTGATTGAAAATAAATACCAATTGAAATGGTTTAATTATAATGAATTTAAAAATATTAAAGAGATAGGAAATGGTGGTTTTGCAACGGTATATTTTGCAAATTGGCCAAATGAAATTAAAGGAATCGTTGAAAAAGTAGCACTTAAATTAATTCACGGTTCGAAACGCTGTCATGAAGAATTTATAAGAGAAGTAATTATTATTCAATTTTTCTGCTTTGTCATTAATAACTTACATTAATTTTTATAATGAATTTTTTAAAAGTTGAAGGCATATTGTGACATTGGTCTCAAAAATTCAACATTTTTAAAATGTTTGGGTATATCAAAAGATAATGCATCTGAAGATTATATTCTTGTCATGGAATACGCAACAATGGGATCTTTACGTGAAAATATTTACTCTGTGTCACAAATGGAATGGGAGAAGAAATTATCACTCTTGGACTGCATCGCTACAGACCTTCAGATAATCCATAATCAAGGTTTTATTCACCGAGATTTGCATAGCGGAAATATACTGCTAAATAGCTTGTACAGCGCATATATTGCAGACCTAGGACTTGCAACATTAGCCAACACGAGATCAAGTAATAATGTGCGTGGTGTCTTGCCATATATAGCACCTGAAGTATTATCTGATAATAACTATAGCATGGCATCTGATATATATTCTTTTGGTATAATAGTATATGAAATAATATCAGGTCAAATTGCATTTCATAATGTTCCCCACGACATTAAATTGGCACGTGATATTCGATCTGGTTTACGTCCAAGTATTCCAGAAAATGCACCAAAGTTAATTAACGAATTTATTAATAGATGCTGGTGTTCTCAGCCAGATAAAAGACCGATTGCTGAAGAGATAAATAATACAATACATTCATGGAAACTTTTTTTAAATGATAAATCAACTGAATTCTTCGCACAAATAAAGAATGCTGATGAAATGCAAGAAAAATTTTTGACATCTGACATATCGGCACCATCTCATTTCAATGTTGATCACGCTAGTAAACAATTTGATTTTTTGCCTCTTAAAAATACCACGAGTGATAATGGTTAGTTTACAATATACATAATCGCTGCTTTATGTTATTTTTTTCTAATATCATTTTATATCTATACTAAAGATAACGAATATGGACAAGAGAATAGCGAAAGTTTGCTACTTCCAGAAGCTCATTTTGAAAAGAGTAAATGTAAAGAACTCGATTCTTACAAACCGTCCATTTATTATCAAGAACGCAATGAGATAATTAATGTTGATGATATACTTAATATTAGCAAATGTTATTTTAGTGGCCATGGTGTTGAAATGGACAAGCCTAAAGCATTCAAATATTTCCAAAAATCTGCTATGATGGGGCATGCTGGAGGATTATCTGCCATAGGATATTGTTATGAAAATGGAGTCGGAATTGAAAGGGATGAAAATAAAGCATTTGTTAATTACTTAAAAAGTGCTGATATGGGCTGTGATGATGGAATATATATTGTTGGTAAATGTTATCGAAATGGAATTGGAGTTGAAAAAGATGGGCGTAACGCATTTATTTATTTTCAAAAATCTGCAGATATGGGGTATCCCAAGGGAATGCTTGCACTTGGTGACTGTTATAAAGATGGAATTGGAGTTGAAAAGGATGAACATTTAGCATTCATTTATTATCAAAAATCAGCAGAGATGGGACTCGCTGGTGGAATATCCAGTGTTGGATATTGTTATAGTAATGGAATTGGTGTTGAAAAGGATGAACGTAAAGCTTTCATTTATTTTCAAAGGTCAGCTGAAATGGGGAATTATTCTGGAACATATAATGTCGGAGTTTGTTATCAAAATGGAATTGGGGTTGAAAAGAATGAGCATATGGCGCATACTTACTTTCAAAAATCACTTGAAAATGATGATGCATTTATTTATTATCAAGAATTTGCCGACACGGACAGCACTAGTGCATCTAATGTTGGTTATTGTTATGAAAAAGGAATTGGAACTGAAAAGGATGAGCATAAAGCATTCTTTTATTATCAGAAATCTGCAGATATGGGGGATGCTAATGGAATATTTAACGTTGGTTATTGTTACGAGAAGGGAATTGGAGTTGAAAATGATGAATATAAAGCATTTATCCATTATCAAAAGTCAGCTGAATTGGGTCATTTCGAAGGGACATTTAAACTTGGTACATTTTATTATAGCGGAATTGGTATTGAAAAGGATGAACGTAATGCATTCATATATTATCAAAAATCTGCAGATATGGGTCATGTTAAAGGATCATATAATGTTGGCTATTGTTATCTCAAAGGTGTTGGGATTGAACAGGATGATCATAAAGCATTTATGTATTATCAAAAATCTGCAGATATGGGTCATAAAGAAGGTGGTGCGTATATGACTGGTTATTGTTATGAAAATGGAGTTGGAGTCGAAAAAGACGAATATAAAGCATTTATTTATTTTAAAAAATCTGCTGATGCGGAACTTGTTGAAGGAATAAATAAGGCTGGTTATTGCTATCAAAATGGGATTGGAGTTGAGAAAGATGAGCAAAAAGCATTCGTTTATTATCAAAAATCCGCCATAATGGGAAATGATACTGGAATACGTCAGGTCGTAAATTGTTATCGAAATGGAATTGGCGTAGCAAAAAATTTTCAAAGTGCTGACTACTGGTAAATAAGTTGTTATTTTTTAAGCTAATATTTATTTTTCATTTTATTTTTATTGATAATTATTTCACATATAAAGGGAAGATAAACTAATATGATAAATGCAGGAATTGTTTACATAAGTATATAATATTGATCATGCATCAATTAATATTGTAAATTTGTCTGGTCGTGTAAATGATTGGCTGACAGTGCCGCGCAGCGGCACGACCAGACAAATTTTACGATATTAATCGATGCATGACTCAAAATTAGTGTTATCCGGCAATTCATGATCATAATTCTCAAGTCGTGATTGGCTAACAAAGTTTAATTCGAATAAACAAACAGGGGGAAACGTTGAAACGTCACAAAATTGTTACACAATTGATAAAAAATTTTTTTATATTATTTTACAATACTTTTTTGGAAGGCTCGCTTGACTTATGTTTTATATGAATATTGAAAATTTTTAAACAAACATGAAGCTCTCACTTTGCTTTACAACATATTTTTTGAATCCCCTTGAATCCCACGGTTTCGTCTTTTTGTAAATTTCGCAATTTGATTGGTTGAATAATCCCGTAGTGATATTTGACTGGTCGATACAATGAATGATCTGTGTAACGGAGAATAAAAATCATATCTATACTTGGACGTTTCCTCCTGTTGAATAAACATGATTGCCTTGTAATACATGAAAAAAAATAACAAAAATTATACCCTGGTCACTATATCAAGATCGCAGGGCATAAATCAGTTATGTCCTGGGCACTATGTGATAAGCGGGACTTTCAGCCCCGCTTATACCCAACTGCCCAGGAAATAACTATTACGAATTTTTTCATGATCATAAGAGTTTGCTGGATAACTATCTTTATCGTATTTATATTACCTATCAAAGCAGAAATTCGTTTTTGGTTTGTTATTAAATAATAAAATTTATTTATTTAAAGTAATGTATCAAATCGAAAAAATAAATAAATAAAAGCTAACATCACTAGAGGAGAATACATAACTCAAATAATGCCCATGCTAAGAATTTACGGTAGTAGAATAACCGGTACGGCTATTTCATTGAAAATAATAATTCAAATAACTAATTGAATATGTTTTGAGAGCAAAACCATTCAAAATTTTTTAATGTTAGCCAAATTTTTTAATATTATTCGAAATTTTTTACTGTTAGGGAGCAAATATTAGGTAATTATAGCCTTCCAGGAAATACTCAACGATACAATTTAGTATAATGTATCAATTTTACTCTTTAATTGTATTGTTAAATGACTATTCCCTGAGGGACTATAATTATCTAATTTTATCCGCTCCTATTGTCAAGTTATGTATCATTTATTGATTCCCGTCAATCCAAAATCAACATATCATTTTTGAATTCTGTTGATCAAACGAATGTGCTATTTTAATTAACGATGTTATAATTAGCCATTTAGGGTTGCTGGTGCAAAGTACTTGGCGATGTCAATATTGCACTAAATTTAATGCACTAGTTGGTGCGCCAACAAAGGTTTGGTGCAGTATGGCGAGTAATCATATTTACTAAAATTCTCTAGAAGCTGCTTGCTTATATAAACCTTTTTGGTTTCTATAAAAAAATATAAAATTTTTTTGCAGTAATTATAGGATATAAGCTATTATTTATTTAATTTATTTTCAATTAAATATTATGAAAAAAATTACTAAGGCCATATAAATTAATTAATCGTTTTTCATAACTCAGCCAGATACAAAACTTTATAGGCTATTTACTATATTTATTACACAGCTCCTAATTGTTCGCTCATGGCTTTTTTTATTGATATTTTTATAGCTTATATTCTCATGGCTAATATTCCCACGCCTGATGTTTTCACGGCTAATATTTTCACAGCTGATATTTTCACGGCTAATATTTTTACAGCTGCCATTTTCATAGCTGATAATTTTAAGTTTTTTTAAAAATTCTTATGCGATAAATATAGCCTTTTGATTTTATTATTTTTTTAATAATGTTTAGGAGAAATTTATAAAATTTTAAATTGTCTATTAATTTATATCTTCAATTAGTTATATTTATGTTTATTTAATAAAGATGCAAATTCCAATTTACATTAATTATACAAATATATTTCTAATTTGTATAACAAATAAGTAATAAAAATACTATTTTTGAATATGAAAAGTAACATTTAAGAAAGTACAATTATTAAATATAGATTTTTTAGAAAAATCTATATCAATATTATTTGAATTTGAAGTAATTTCTTGAAATGGGCTCAAGATTCTGAATTGCCGTTAGGTACACCTTCAGTAAGACTTATTAAAGTATTTAATGTATGCAGTTGTTGATCTTTATTGACTTGCTTATATGCATGAATTCTTTGAATGCTTTTATGCTCTGTGAGTTCTATAATTGCTTGTTCAGGAATATCATGATCTTGTAAGCATTATGCAGCAGTTTTACACCCAGAATGATTAGAAAGCAATTCAATAGAAATATCAATTTTTGTAATACATCCAATTTTCTGCATAATTTATTTTTCCTACATTTTTTTTTTGTACCAACTATCTGTATCTAAACAGTTTGATTCTGGTTGTAAATAAAAGCTTGAATCTGCCAAATTAGATCAGTTTGACAAATAAAACTGAAGAACATTACATGGCCCACATCAGAAAAATTTTTTTGATAATATATATCAATTATAATCGATCATCAGGAAAATTAAATAAGTGCAAATTTGCAAAAATCTGTATTTTTGCAGATTTTTGAAGAATTGCTGTAAAAATTTTTTAGAATTTGAAGTTTTGCAACTAATTTCTGCATTTATAGTATCAAATTTGAAGTTTTGCGCAGATTTTCATTTGATTTATTATTTAATTTTTTTGCAAATCTGTGCAGAACTACAATAAAAAAAATTTCCCAATGATATATATCACCCCTGCTGTGTATAAACATTAGTAATATATAATGATATATAGCAAAATTTAGTAAATTTTATTAAATTTGACACAAATTTTCTCGATAACTAACAAACAATCAATTGAAATTTTTATAGTAAATAGTATCATTATACATTTATAAAATATAAAAATTTTAGCTAATTATAAGAGGTTTACTATTTATCGCCACTGGTGATCATCACCAGTATTGCTATATCTCAAAAACCTACTAAGTAAACAGGATCAGGAACTCTAAGTAAAAATGTTCAGAACCTTTGAAAACCTCACAGAAACTAAAATTAGAACCCTAAATCTAATATATAGAATATTATATAAAAAAAGCCTCCCTTAAAAATGTATTCTAACCCTAAAAACTTTATTGTTGCTATATCTCAAAAACCTACTAAGTAAACGGGATTGGGTACTCTAAGTAAAAATGTTTAAAACTCTTGAAAACTTTATAAGAACTAAAAT